AATGCTCTTGGGAAGAAGCAGCTGATGGCTCAAGCACTTAGGTCCCTGTCATCTTTGTGGGATATCCAGAGTTAAGTTCTGGGCTCCTGGCTTTGGCCTGGCCCATTCCTAGCCTGCTGTGGACACACCAGTGAATGAATGCTCTCTCCGTGTCTGTCTATTTCTGGCTGTCTGCCTTTCAAATACAGAAAAAATAAAATCAGAGATGAAAAAGGAGATGTTACAATGGATACCACAGAAATAAAAGAACTATCGGGATTTACTACAAATAGCTGCATGTCAACAAACTGGAAAATCCAGAAGAAATGGATAGATTTCTGGAAACATACAATCGCCATAATTGAGTCATGAAGACAAAGCCAAAATAGAACAATAAACAGAGACTGAGTCAGTAACAAAGACCCACCCAATAAAAAAAGCCCAGGACTGGATGGCTTCACTGTTGAATTCTACCAACTTCCAAAGAACTATTTCCAATTCTTCTCAAACTATTCAAAAACAATTGAAAGGGAAGGAAATATCCCAAACTCCTTCTATGAAGCCAGCATCACCTTAATTCTAAAGCCGGGAAAAAAAAAAAAAGGAGAGAACTATAGACCAATATCCCTGATGAATACAAATGCAAAAGTCTTCAACAAAATATTAATCCCATCCAACAACACATCAGAAAGATCATTCACCTACACCAAGTGGGATTTATCCCTGGTATGCAAGGATGGCTCAGCATTCACAAACTAATCACATTAACAAATTGAAGAACAAAAGTTATATGATTATCTCAACAGATGCAGAGAAAGCATTCGATAAAATACAACACCCCTTCATGATGAAAACTCTAAGCAAACTGGGTATAGAAGGAACATTCCTCAACATAAGCAAGACAGTCTATGACAAACCCACACTCAGCATCCTATTGAATGGGGAAAAGCTGAAAGCATTCCCACTGAAATCCAGAACCAGATAAGGATGCCCTCTCTCACCACTGCTATTCAATATAGTTCTGGAAGTTTTAGCCAGAGCCATTAGACAAGAAAAAGAAATGAAAAGGGTACAATTGGAAAGCAAAAAGTCAAATTATCCCTGTTTGCAGATGACATGATCCTATTTATACGGGCCAAAAGGCTCTACTTAGGGACTATACTGCAGCTCATTAAGAGGGTTTGGTGAAGCTGAAGAATATAGAATCAACACACAAAAATCAATAGCATTTGTATACACAAATGATGCCACAGCTGAGAAACAACTTGTAAGATCAGTCCCACTCACAATGGCTACAAAAATATTTAAGTATCAGGGCCAGCACTGTGGCGTAGAGAATAAAGCCACCACTTGCAGCACCAGCACCCATGCGCTCCAGTTCCAGTTCTGGCTGCTACGCTTCCAGTCCAGCTCCCTGCTAATGTGCCTGGGAAAGCAATGGAAGATGGTCCAGGTACTTGGGCCCTTGCACCCACATGGGAGACCTGGATAAAGCTCCTGGCTCCCGTCTTACCCTGCCCTGGCTGTTAAGGCCATTTGAGGAGTGAATCAGCAGATGGAAAACCTATCTCCACCTCTCTTTCTCTCTGTAACTCTGCCTTTCAAATAAATAAATATTTTTTTTTTTGACAGGCAGAGTGGACAGTGAGAGAGAGAGACAGAGAGAAAGGTCTTCCTTTGCTGTTGGTTCACCCTCCAATGGCCGTTGCGGCTGGCGCGCTGCGGCCGGCGCACCGCGCTGATCCGAAGGCAGGAGCCAGGTGCTTCTCCTGGTCTCCCATGGGGTGCAAGGCCCAACTACTTGGGCCATCCTCCACTGCACTCCCTGGCCACAGCAGAGAGCTGGCCTGGAAGAGGGGCAACCGGGACAGAATCCGGCGCCCCGACCGGGACTAGAACCTGGTGTGCCGGCGCCGCTAGGCAGAGGATTAGCCTGTTGAGCCGCGGCGCCGGCCAAATAAATAAATTTTTTTTTTTAAATTTAAATATATCTTAGAATAAATTTAACCAAGGATGTGAAAGATATCTATAATAAAAATTATAAAATATTAAAGAAATAGAAGACAAAAAAATAGAAGAATCTTACAGATTTGTAGAGTGGAAGAATTATCATTAAGATATAATATCATTAAAATTATCTTATCATTAAGATAGAATATCATTAAAATGCATATCTTATCCAAACCAAAATACATTCTTCTCAAATCTAGAAAAAAACAATGCTAAAATTCTTATGGAAACACAAGAGAACCTGAATAGCTAAAATAATCTTAGACAACAAAACAAACCCCAAGGCAGCATAATACCAGGTTTCAAGTTACACTACTGGACAATTATAATCAAAATAGCTCGGACTGGCACAAAAATAGATATGTAGACCAATGGAACAGAGTAGAAACCCCAGAAATTAATTCACACATCTACAACCAACTAATCTTTAACAAGCTAAAATCAATCCCTGAAGCAAGGATAGGCTCTTTAACAAACTGCGCTAGAAAATTGGATATACGCATACAGAACTATGAAACAAAACCCCTACCTTACACCTTATACAAAAATCAACTCACAATGAATCAAGAATCTAAATCTATAACCTGATACCGTCAAATTACTAGAGGAAAACATCAAGGAAACTCTGTAAAACATTGGCATAAGCAAACTTCTTGGAAACAACCCCAGCAGCACAGGCAGAAAAAAGCAAAAGTTGAGAAATGGGATAACATCACATTAAGAACCTTCTAAACTGCAAAGGAAACCCTCAATAAAGTGAAGAGGCAACCAACAGAATGGGAGAAAATATCTGCAAACTATGCAACTGATAAAGGATTAATATCTTAATCTATAAAGAGCTCAAGAAACTCAACAACAACAAAACAAAAATCCAATTAAAAAATGGATAAAGGACATAAACAGGCATTTTCAAAGGATGAAATGCAAATGGCCAACACACACATGAAAAAATGCTCAGCATCACAGGCCATCAGGGAAATTCAAATAAAAACTACAATGAGTTTTCACTCACTCCAGTTAGAATGCCTATCATCCAAACATAAAAAAAAAAAAACAATAAATACTGGCAAAGATGATGGGGAAAAGGTACCCTAATATAGGAATGTAAACTAGTATAATTATTACGGAAAACAGTATGGAGATTTCTCAAAAAACTGAAAATAGATTTACCATATGACCAGGCCATCCCATTCATAGGAATTTAACCAAACGAATATGAAATCAGCCTATGAAAGAGTTATCTGCACCCCATGTTTATTGCAGCTCAGTTCACAACAGGTAGGATATGGAGTCAACTCAAATGTCCATCAACTGAAGCTTGGATAAAGAAAATGTGGTATATACATATATATAACTTTGTTCCTATGGAATACAACTCAGCCATCAAAAGGAATGAAAGGGAGAAAGGGAGGGGGGAAGATGGTTATCTTCTTTGAATTATACCTATAAAATACATGAAATCTGTTCTCTTTATATTCATAAAAATTTTTAAAGAAAAATATGAATTTATTTTTTCTTTTTTTTATTTAGTAAATATAAATTTCCAAAGTACAGTTTATGGATTACAATGGCTTCCCCCCCCATAATTTCCCTCCCACTCGCACCCTTCCCATCTCCCGCTCCCTCTCCCATTCCATTCACATCAAGATTCATTTTCAGTTATCTTTATATACAGAATTTCGATTGTTCTGAATAGTTTGAGAAGAAGCAGTACATGGAACCTTCTCTAGGACTGACCACATACTAGGCCATAAAGCAAGTCTCAGCAAATTCAAAAGAATTAGAATCATACGATGCAGCTTCTCAGACCATAGGGGAATGAAGCTGGACATTAGCAACTCAGAAATCCATAGAACAGCCGGCGCCGCGGCTCACTAGGCTAATCCTCCGCCTAGCGGCGCCGGCACACCAGGTTCTAGTCCCGGTTGTAAATGAGGATAACAGCACAACATACCAAAACTTATGGGATACAGCAAAAGCAGTGTTAAGAGGAAAGTTTATATCAATAGGTGCCTACATCAAGAAATTGGAAAGGCACCAAATAAATGAGCTTTCAATTCACCTCAAGGATCTAGAAAATCTGCAGCAAACCAGACCCAAATCTAGTAGAAGAAGAGAAATAATTAAAATCAGAGAAGAAATCAACAGGATTGAATCCAAAAAACATTACAAAAAATCAGCCAAATGAGGAGCTGGTTTTTTGAAAAAATAAACAAAATTGACACACCATTGGCCCAACTAAATCAATAAAATCAGAGATGAAAAAGGAAACGTAACAACAGACACTACAGAATTAAAAAGAATCATCAGAAATTGCTACAAGGACTTGTATACCAGCAAACAAGGAAACCTATCAGAAATGGATAGATTCCTGGACACATGCAACCTACCTAAATTGAACCAGGAAGACATCGAAAACCTAAACAGACCCATAACTGAGACAGAAATTGAAACAGTAATAAAGGCCCTCCCAACAAAGAAAAGCCCAGGACCAGATGGATTCACTGAATTTATTTTTCCAAAGTCTAAAGAGACTGGAAAATCAAATGCAATACATGACCTTGACTGAATTCTACAATTTAAACAAAATTTTAAAATTCAAAAGTTAAAATTTAAAAAAAAATTTTTTAAAAATTTAAACAAAATTATATCTGAAATTTATTTTCACCTAGTTGGAGGTGGAGGCTAAATATAAATTTAAAAAATATACTGGGAACAAGAAAGCAATTAGAACACATGTTAATAATTGACGACTTTAGGCTGAAGAGAATACACAGGGGTATACTGTATAGTTCATTCCAACTTTTCTTAGATTTGAATGATATCAAAATAAAAATTTAATGATGGGATGGTATAGCTACTGAAATCTCCAAAGTATTAATGTGAAGAAAACATGAAAGCACTGTAAGTTATGTGATTTAAATATAACTAAATGTTTAAAAAATATAAAGATTAGGCTTTGTGAAACATTATTTTATCCTTCAAGAAAATCAGAGAAATAAATTCCTTACCTTCTAAAAACTGAAACAGGCAAACTGAAGACTGATGACAAAGTAGGTTTACTGGAAGGATCTACAGACCTATTTCATTAAAGAAAACAAAAGAAACAATTGAGGAGATTACAGCTTTGTCTAATACAGGTTGCTAATTTCTTTGCCTAAAAATACAATCAAGAGTTGAAATTGGGTTTGTCATTTAGTATAGTTACAACATGTCTGCTACATGGATTTTGCTCTTGCAGAATAAGTTACGCTTTTCTTTAAAAATGCAATATCATAAATGATTCATATAATGCAGTGGTTGCACTGGCAAGTGGATTCTTCTCCCACCACTCCCACTCAAGTTCAATGGTAACCAGAAACTATCATCCTAAACATCTGCCTGATGATTTTTTAATAATAAAACATCAAAGAAAAAATACAAAGTTGAAGGTATATACTAAAAATGTACTATAGACAAAAACCACTATAGTGATTTTTAATTTTGTACCTAGTTATGTTCAAAATAAAATATCAGGGTGACTTTTTGAACCAGTGGGCTTCTTAATACTGCTTAAACTAAATCATACCACATATATCTAGCATGGATAGCAAAAGCCTCTCATGTCAGAATGAATTGCTATAAGATTGTATCAACACCCTAGGATAATTAACAGTAAAAAACATATAAATTCTTATATCTTACCACATATCCATTCTTGATACCTCATCAAATAACAGAAGACAAAACAATGCGCCAACTTCAGTCACAACAGTACAGTCTTCATGAAATATCAAGGAAACTGAGGAATAAAAAGAAAAATAAATAACTATGAAATATTTTTACTTCTAATAAGAATGGACCTCAAATTAAAAATGCCTTTTTAATGTGAAGGGAAAAGAATGTATCAACCCAGAAAAACTGACATCACTGAAATACTGACTCGAACTTTTGAATATTTTTTTATATTTATAACTTTTTATATTTATAACTTTTTTATATCTTTTATTCCTAAGACCTACATTCAACTAATATAAAAATACATTCAATATATTTTTCAGTTAAAATCTTGAAGTATATAATAGGAAAAATATAGCATGTTTACAAAGAAAAGATCATTCCAGATAATATATTCCAAACAATAACTAGGACATTATTTATTTATTATTATTTATTTTCTGGAAAAATCAAAGAGAAAATGAAAACTTTTAGGATTTTACTTTATATAGTTCTGTACTTTCTGAATTTTTTCAATACAGATGTGTAATTTTGCAATTATGTAAAACAAAACAGATAAAAAAGGACCTGAAGTTTGGATTCTTCTCCTGTTACCATTGTGTGTCTGGTTATGACTTACACCAGATAAAGAAGTCTTTCTAGACCTCATTTTCCTCTACAATGGCATAATAAATGTCTATGTTAGTTTCCAACCCTGAAATACAGTACAGGATTCTGTTATATAAATCTAGTAATTCAAAGCAATGCGTCTAACAGGTTATCAAATTATTGTATCCCTTTGACCTACTCACCTATGGACAGAACGATCTTTCTAAAACATATGCTCCCCCATTTAGCAACCTCACATGACCCCTCACTGCCATTTCATCAGTCCCTCCAGGCCCTGCAGGACTACTCTCCTTACAACACCCCACCATTTCCCCTTCACCCAGCATCCCCAGATCCGGCCATCCTTAACCCACCACCATCTCAAATACACCATTCTCTCTCACCCATCACTGTGGCTCACTCTAGCTGGAAGTCAATCCTCTCTGTATTTGAACTCCTACTTACTTCTGCAATTCCAGCTTAGTGGCATACCCCCTGGAAACATTCTCTGATACTTCCCCACACCTCATCTATTCAGCACTTCCTCTGGCACCAGAAATCCAACTATAAATATTACTACACTGCATTTTATATTCACTTGTCAAACCTCTGACTCTACCATAGCTGCTGAGGTCATCACCATGTGCTCACAAGACAAAAATTATTTTGGTCTGAAACCAAATGTTAATCAGAGATAATATATGTTCACACTGAAGTAATTTTCATAAACAGTGAGACAGGAAAATTCTTTAATAACCAAGAAGGTATAGATTATGTTGCCTTGGAAAGTACCCCAGCAAGTATTCATAAGTTCAATCACTGAATAATTTAAACAAAAATTATAAATGAAAAGGTAAACTGGAGACCAAAGTAAATTAAACTGAGGTTAACAGGAAGATAATTAACAGGATTAAAGAAAACTAGAAATCTAAAACTGCTGCTCTTTCAAATGAACAGTCTGTGAGAACTTATAAAAATTTTACATTCTACTCAAAATTTTATGAGTCTAAACATACTTACTCTGTTTAGAACTTTATCTGATTTGGACCTCAACTAATGCTACTGCATCCTATTCACTCAGCAAGCAGAAACTATTAGGAAGGGGGGAAAAAACTAAAACAAAATGACTATAATCTAATAATAAACTTTGAACATAATTTCTTTTCACTTTTATATTCCTGATAATAGACAAGGTTAAATATACTGAGATATCTCATGAAGGCACATCTTGTAAAATATGTCAAAGCACTGACTTAAACCTCTAGGAAAGAAAACAGAATAAAATATTAAACACAGTTGCTATAAAGATAGAGAGGAAAGAAGATAAAACTACAGGAGATTTTTCCATTAAAGACATTACTAAATTAGAATCAACCTAAAATGTGTTTTAAAAAATACTACAATGTTTAAATGTAATAAATGTATGCTCAGTCATTCATAAAGACCTGGTGTCCATGCCTCACAGGTCAGGCCTGTATCTTTAATGCCAGTCAAATGACGTAAGCAGTGTACTACAAGCAAAGGAAGAGACAGGTCCTGGAAAGAAGGCTGCAGTTTTCTCTCTCCCTAGATAATAGTTTACCTTTGAGTACCAAATGATCAAGGTGCAAAAACACTCATAAACTTTAGCTTTTCTTTCTTTTTTTTTTTTTTTTTTTTTGCAGGAGCCAGGTACTTATCCTGGTCGCCCATGGGGTGCAGAGCCCAAGGACTTGGGCCATCCTCCACTGCACTCCCTGGCCACAGCAGAGAGCTGGCCTGGAAGAGGGGCAACTGGGACAGAATCCGGCGCCCCGACCGGGGCTAGAACCCGGTGTGCCGGTGCCGCAAGGCGGAGGATTAGCCTAGCGAGCCGCGGGGCCGGCCAAACTTTAGCTTTCCTTAGCACTAAGGCCCAGTCAGTATCAAGATTAGAAAGAAATATCCATAAAAATATTGAGTGTTTTCCATTAGCAAATTCACTAGTAAACTCCACTGTCCCACTAGTAAAATGGAAAGTAAATATTACCTACAATTAATGAATGAATACTTAAAGCTTAAGACTGATCTCATTATTAACAGAATTTTTGTTCACCTCTGAATAACAGGATCAAGAGAGAAGACTGTTGCGAGAGGGAAACACGCACAACTGGATCAGCACATAGAACCTTCCTCAAGAGCGTGAGGCATGGCTGGGTCAAGCACTCTACCACCTGGCCAGGAAAGAAAACACATAACTATTTATTTTCAAAAACTTAAGGTCAGATAAAAGATATCATAATATTATCTCATTTTTAATTTTATGCCTTTCAGTCAAAAACATGTGAAACAGAAAAGCACCATGATGCAGCAGGTTAAGCTACCACCTGAAAAGTCCACATCCAGTACCAAAGGGTCTGGTTCAAGTCCAAGCTACTCCACACTGCCAATCCAGTTTTCTGCTAATGGGCCTGGGAGGCAGCAGATGATGGTCCTAGTACTTCGGTCCCTGCCAAACACTTGAGAGCTGTGGATGGAGTTTTAGGTTCTTGGCTTCAGCCTGGCCCAGCACGAGCTGTTTGCAGGCATTTGGGGAGTGAACCAGGGAATGGAAGATCCCTAACCCTCCCTTCCCTCTCTCTCTGTCACTCTGCCTTTAAATGAATGAATAAATAAATCTTTTTAAAAATATATGTGAAACTAAAATGCAGATAAAATTAGAAATGACCACTGAAAATACTTCTATGCTTTCTTTGTATTTCTGCTTACACATCTAATAGAACTCTTTTTTAAGATTTTTTATTTATTTATTTGACAGGTAGACTTACAGAAAGTGAGAGAGAGAGACAGAGAGAAAGGTCTTCCGTTGGTTCACTCTCCAAATGGCCGCAACAGCCGGAGCTGCACCAATCCGAAGTCAGGAGCCACGTGCTTCTTCTTGGTCTCCCATGTGGGTGCAGGAGCCCAAGCACTTGAGCCATCCTCCACTGCTATCCCAGGCCACAGCAAAGAGTCGGACTGGAAGAGGAGCAACCAGGACTAGAACCCGGCGCCAATATAGGATGCTGGTGCCACAGGAGGAAGATTAACCAAGTGAGCGACAGCGCTGACCCCTAGAACTCTTAAGATTAGTTTTTCTTTATAGAGATTGCAGTTGAAAAAAAGAAAAAAATGAATGAGACATTGGGTGTTACTTAGAATTTAAAATCCAAGTACTCACCCAATTCAGCTGAATTCAATTTCAAATCTGATTAATAAGAACACTTAACCTATAAAAAACACATCTAGATGTACATTAGTCTTACCTTACCATGCTGACCCACACATTCATTTAAGTATTCAATTATCTTGTCAATTAAGCATAACTTTTTCACCACAGCATGCATTTTAATATCTGTAAAGAAAAAAACTAAAAGTTACCAAAAATTAAGAAAGACAGCCCAAGTTCTTGGGTCCTCGCACCCATGTGGGAGACCTAGAAGAAGCTCCTGGCTTCAGCCTGGCCCAGTCCTGGCTATTGCAGTCATTTAGGGATTGAAACAGTGGATGGAAGATCTCGCTCACTCACTCTCCCACTCTCTCTCTGTAACTCTTTCAAATAAATAAATAAATCTTTAAAAAAAATGCAATGAATTTCAATGGACTCTACTTATGAAGAACATAAACTTCAAAAAATATATTCACATTACATTTGTAATTACAAGACAATTACAAAATTATACACATATACATATATAGAAGCTGTTTGAGGGCATCTGGGGAAGGAACCAGGGAACAGAAGATCCCTAACCCTCCCTTCCCTCTCTCTCTTGTCACTCTGCCTTTGAATAAATAAATAGTTAGTTATTTACGTATTTGTTGCAAGTATTTAACAACTTGAAATTTTCTCCTATATATTCAGTGAGAAAAACGCTCACATACATACACATTAACACACACACACACAGATACTGAACTAGTGGCTATCGGTATAACTAATTCTAACTGCCACGTTTTAAAAAAGGCTTCCATTACTACCTAGTAACATGCAAATGTGTAAAGAACCAGGTAGTCAATACATTGGGCTTTGTTGGCCACATATGGTCTCCACTGCATAGCCTTTGGATACTGAGGGTGTGGGGGATTTGTTTTGTTTTTTTTAACAGCTCTGAAGATGTAGCCCTTAATTTGAGGGCCATGTAAAGAAAAATAGGTCACAGGCAAGACCTGGTCCAACACTACTACACACAGCACTGTAAAATTCTGTTACCAATAGGACGGCAATTATCACCCTTAAAAGACATCACCTTGCATAATCACAGCTAACTGTTCAGCAGCTGACTTTCTCAAAAGAAGATCAACATCATCTGAGGTGAAAATTTCATAAACCCTTTCAACTGTCTCCAACTACAAATCAAGAAAAAAGAAAAATTACTGTTATCATATGTTCCAAATTATCCAATAAAATCATACAGTTCATGGCATAAAAATAAAATAAAAGCTCAAAAAGTCAACTTACTTAAGTAACCACTAAATTTACATGTAAATTTGCAACAGCGCTGTGCCAGGTCAGGAAGGAACTTGGATTCTAAAGGAGAGCTATCATGTCAAATAAGCATGTCATCATAACACACATTTCTGTTAGAAGTCATTCGTAACCCAGCAGTCCATTAGCTACCCTAAGAGCATCACAGAAAATACTTGCTTTTAAAAGTCATCACTAAATTTCTTTCCATCAAATTGTATTAACCTAATATTGTAATCAAAAAAATTTACATTTCTAGTGCATATAGTAAATTAAAAGGCATATAATGTCTGGCATATGGTGGGCACTCAACATAAACAAATGTATCCTATCCAGAAGTTGGTTAAAGCCAGAACATAATTTCAAAATGGCTCCGAATCACCACACCTCTTCTCTCTTCAGGATATGCACAAATTAGAACGTCACATAAAATATGAGATATACAAATGCATCAAATAATCATGAAGTAATAAACTCAAAAGTTACAGTACCTTAATAACCAGTTCTCTTCTGTCATCCAATTTGAGTTCAATAGGTTTTTTCACAATAAATAAATTAGTAACTCTGGAGAGAACTCTGGCATCTATTAAAGGGCGCTTTGTGTCAGCCCCTTCTTCATTTGTAAGATGAAATGCTAAAAGCTTTAATGCTAGTGAACGAACTCTAAAAACACAAAGTATTGAAGTCAACATTTTCACATTCAGATGTCTATAAGAAAGGCCCATAGTCACAAATAATTATCTATCCAAAGTATAATTATCAGTTATACTATATTGACATTAATAATATATTTTACTTGTTCCATTAAAAAATCTTTCCTCTATAACTACATTTATTCAACTTTATAATATTTATAAAATGAACATCAGAAACAAAGAATAAGCAATATAATTATAAATGAGACTCACTGAGACTAAACATCACAGTCAACTTCAAGAAGTAGATCTGAAAAATCAATTCTCTAACTCTTGACTTCAACTCTAGTGATCTTTCTCAACCATAAAAAGTATTACAGTGGCCAGCGCTGTGGCACAGTAGGTTAAAGCCCAGCCTGCAGCGCCAGCATTCCATATGGGTGCCAGTTCGAGACCCAGCTGCTCCACTTCCAATCCAGCTCTCTGCTATGGCCTGGGAAAGCAGTAGAAGATGACGAAACTCTTTGGGCCCCTGCACCCACATGGGAGAACTGGAAGAAGCTCCTGGCTCCTGGCTTCAGATCAGCTCAGCTCTGGCCACTGTGGTCATTTGGGGAGTGAACCAGGGGAATGGAAGACTTTCTCTTTCTCTCTTTCCCTCCCTCTCTCCCTCTCTCTCTGGCTCTACATCTCTCTATAACTCTGTCTTTCAAATAAATAAAAATAAATCTTTAAAAAACAAAAGGTATTACAGACCCCTAACCAGAGTCCAAATATTAAGTCAAACCTCAGTACAATGACTATACTAATAACTAGTAGTAACACTAAAATTATGAAAATCTTCTTATATTAGGGGTCAGATTCTTCTCAAATATGAAAACACACATAATTTAGATTCCCATCAGAATACTTCATTTGGAACAGATTAGGATTAAGGTCATTTGAGTGGTGAGCTGGGAGATTTTCAAGAAAAGTTTAAATGCTGCATGCCACTAGATGATGAATGGGAAAAATAGAAAAACCTTCAAGTGGACAAAATTCACTAGAGGTGTGAGATACTGAGACTATTACGTATCTGTCACTCCTCTGATAGACTCGTGAACTACATGGAAATGGGGCAAATGTCAAGCAGCAATGCATGTTGCCAGCATATCCATAAAGCAACAATTAAAGCATGCATACTAAGGGAGGCCTCTCTGCTACAGATTAGATTGGATCAGCTGCCTTGCTAAGCATGGACCTGCCTCCATGAAGTTCCTCATATCCTAACACTTATGTCCCTTTATTACAATTAATAGTAAGATGTAACTGATAATAAGCTCTAATGTCACAATAAATGCCAGATTCTAGAAAGGCAGAACACACGTCTGTGCTGAGTGTTGCTACATTCCGACAGCTGACCACAGCTTGTAGGTACACAGTAGACAATAAATACTGCATCTAACAAGAAGCAGATATTCACTGCAATGTAACTAGTCATCGGATGACTGATATTTACTCCAAGATGGCATCAAGAGTTAGGCAAACGTTCTCCTCCCATTTGCTGAGACACTTCATGAAAATAAGAGAAGCTAGACACCTACCTAATGGTGTACTTTTGTTCCTTTCATACCATGCCAATGACAGCAAAACTGGAGCTGCCAGTTTAGAGGTAGTTACAACCCTGGTAAGGAAGGCTACAGATGGGATACGAAAAGCATATATTTATGCATCTCCTCAGGCATGTAAATTTAGCATCTTTAAATACATATATATTTAAATATTTATATACATATATATACACATATACATATATCCTATTGTAGAGGGAGAGCGAGTGAGCAAGCATCTCTCTTATACATTGGTACACTGCACAAATGCCCACAATGGCCAGAGCTGTCATGAGCCAAAAACGCAACCCAGTTATCCAATGTGGGTGGCAAGAACTCAATTACTTAAGTCATCATGGCTGTCCCCAGAATCTGCACTGGCGGGAAGCTGGGGTCAATCAGGAGCCTGAGCCAGAAATCAAACCCAGGTACTCCAATAGGGGATGCAGGTATCTTAACCACCAACCACCCCTTAACAAATATTTTATGAGTATATTTAATATACTCCATGAAGTTCTTAAGACAAAGATTAGCCAATGCACACAGCTCCTGTCTACATGGAGTTTATGGATAGGATAGGGCAGAATTAATCAAACAACAACAAAAAAAAAAAAAGAAAGAAAGAAAAGAAAAAATTCTGCATAATAGAGGATTGCCTTACTCAAGAAGAGGTCAGGCCTGGCCCTCAGTTCCTGGGAAGGTCTACCTGATAGGAATGTCTGTTTTTCCTGGGGACTTGAACAAGAAGTGAACCACGGAATCAGGGTTTGTAAGAGTAAGGACTACTAACCAGCCCACTCATACACACACCACTGAGGGACTATGGTTAATACGTGTGGAAGACACTCCCTAAGGGGCAGGAGCACCATGAGGCCATGTGACCAACTTCTTCCTGCAGTATCCACAACTTTACCTTTTACAAAATACAGATATTTCCAGTTTGTTTCTTTGACTTTCCTCCTCCCACTCTCAAGTTTTACTTTATTTCTACCTAATTATTTTTCAGTCTGATCATCTGAAGTGAGACTGGGGAAAACAAATTAAACTAGTGTCAAAAAACATCTGTATGATCCCCTTAGCCTTTAAAGCAGACTATGCATCATTGCTTATCTATTTTGACTCCAAGCTTGCTTTCTCTTCTCAGTAGGAAAAATCTAACCACAGTTACCTAAAGAGAGTAACAAAGATTCTTGTTGCACTGACAGAGAGAGAAGAAAAACAATGTATTTCTCCTTCTGTTCCTACAGCTAAAATGATCCCTATATGTCACTCTGGTATCTGAGGAGATTGGGGATCTACACTTTATAAAAATAATTTTCAGAAAAATGGTTAGAAGAGAATCACTCAGGAAGGCAAATATTTTCTAGAGAAGAGAAGATGGGAAAACATCATACCTTTTGTAATGTGTGTATCACTCTCCAGCTTGCCTGCAACACTACTGAACAGTCCCTAGTACGGCTCTTTAACATGGACTGATCTGCCTAGGGATAAGCAGGCTATAATATGGATGAAATACTTCAGGAAAGCATCCAACAGACTTTGCTTAATTCCATGCATTACTTTCCTCTCTCCCTCTAAAAATGAAGGATCACCTTCCTTTATACTCTTTAGTTCTACTGCTTCATACTGATGTCACTATTACACTTAAGCGTTTTCATTAATCTTTTACCCTCAAAGGGTCACCGAGTACTCACGATGGTTTTTTCACAAGCAGAAGCCGCAGCATGGACTTTAATCGAGTAGTACAAGGGAGAATCTCCTGCCCTGCCTCAGGACCCGCTTTGCTTAGCAGGAGAATGCAGTTACCCAAAGGGTCTTCTGTGTCGGCATAGCCCTAATAGACATTTTTAAAAGAGAAATTTGTGTGCAATTTTATACATATTGACTTTCAACTAAAAAATTATAATGTATTTGTTGAATAACTCATACATTTATTTCAATTCAGTAAAAGTCACTTTCTCAAAATAACCTACAAAAGGTAAAAAGCCTAAAGAAAACTTCATTTGAAAAATAATACTGCAGGTGCCAGTGCTGTGGCTCAGTAGGTTAATCCTCCACCTGCTGTGCCAACATCCCATATGGGCGCCAGTTCTAGTCCCGGCTACTCCTCTTCTGATCCAGCTTTCTGCTATGGCCTGGGAAAGCAGTAGGAGATGGTGTCAGCAGATGCTTGGGCCCCTGCACCCAGCGGGAGACCTGAAGAAGCTCGTGGCTCCTGGCTTTGGATCAGTGTAGCTCTGGCCAATGTGGCCATTTGGGGAGTGATCCGGCAGATGGAAAAGACCTTTCTCTGTCTCTCCCTCTCACTGTCTGTAACTCTCTCAAATAAATAAATAAAATATTTTTTAAAAAATAATAATAATATTGGAGGGGCCAGCAATGTGGCATAGCAGGTAAAACCACCACCTGTAGGGCCAGCACCCCAAATGGGCACCAGTTTGAGTCCCATATGCTCCACTTCCAATCCAGCTCTCTGCTATGGCCTGGCAAAGCCATGGATGATGGCCCAAGTCCATGGGTCCTGGCACCCATGTGGGAGACCCAGAAGAAGCTCCAGGCTCCTGGCTTCAGATAGGCCCAGCTCCAGCCATTGTGAACACTTAGGGAGTGAACCAGAGGATGGAAGACCTCCCCCTCCCTCCCTCCTTACCTCTCTCCTTCTCTCTCTCTGCCCCTACCTCTCTGTAACTCTGTCTTTCAAATAAAGAAATAAATCTTTAAAAAAAAATAACACTGGAGGCGTAGTGGGTAAAGCCACTGGCTGTGACACTGGCATCATGTGGGAGGGTTTGGGTTCTGGCTACTGTACTTCTGATCCAGCTTCCTGCTAATAGTCCACGAAAAACAGCAGAAGATGGCCCAAGTGTTGGGTCCCTGCTACCCACATAGGAGACCCAGATGAAGTACCTGGCTTCAGTCTGGCCCAGCCTTGGCCATTGCAGTCATCTAGGGGAGTGAACCAGTAGATGGAAGATCTCTCTCACTCCCCCTCTCTCTCCCTCTGCCTCTCCATCCCTCTCTCTATATGTAACTTTTTCAAATAAATAAGTCTTAAAAAAAAAAAAAACTCTTTTCCAAGGTTCTAGTAGTAGTACCTCTCCGAGATGAGGCACTTCACAGATTTGAAGCCTCTCCCCTCCAGAATACAAAAATGAAGTACAACAAATATTATATGCATGAACAGAATTGTAGGGCGTTAGGTTGTGACACAGGCATCCCATACAGGTGCTGTTTCATGCTCCGGCCGCTCCACTGCCAATCCAGCTCCTTAATGAACCTGAAAAAGCAGTGGAGGATGCCCAAGGACTTGGGCCCCTGCACTTATGTGAGAGACGCAGAAGGAGCTCCTGGCTCCTGGCTTCTGGCTGGCCCAGCACTAGCCATTGCAGTCATTTAGGAAGTAAATGAGAGGATGGAAGCTCTCTCCCCCCGCCCCCACCTTGTTACTCTGGCTTTCAAATAAATAAATAAATCTTTTTTGAAAAAATCAAGGCCTGGGCTTTCATAACAGAGAATTATACCTGTTACCTGGCATTGACTAATTGACTATCTCTGTCTTTCATCCAAGTTCAGGACTGCTAAAAAGGTTTTCTTTCCCAAGAGCTTGTAAATCAAGGTATCATTCATATTTTTTTTTTATGTTTTTGTTTTTAGAAAAGAGTTACAGAGAGAGAGAGAGAGCGAGAGAGGTCTTCCATCCACTGGTTCCCTCCCCAACTGGCCGCAATGGCCAGAGCTGCGCTGATCCAAAGCCAGGAGCCACGAGCTTCTTCCAGGTCTCCCATGTGGGTGCAGGGGCCCAAGGACTTTGGCCATCTTACACTGCTTTCCCAGGCCATAGCAGAGAGCTGGATTGGAAGTGGAGTAGCCAGGTCCCGAACCAGTACCTATATGGGATGCTGGTATCTCGGGCCAGAGTGTTAACCCACTGCACCACAGCACCGGCCCTTCAAGGTATCATTCTAATCATATATATATATGCATGGACAGATTTCCTGAGGCAAGCTAGTTTTATAATGTTTAATGTAAAAGCACTGATTGCGTTGCCTGAAAGCCTTTTTATAAGGTTGAGTTCTATTTTTCAGTCAATTTCAAGTGCCTGCACCTCACATTTTAACCTCCCACCCAGATACATAAAGTACAATCTAGCTGTCCTGGTTCAACCATCTTCCGGCAATAAGACAGTCACCCACTTCCTGTTAACTTATCCACAGTGCTTTGATGGCTTTTCCTCATTTTTCTCACATCAACTTTCTGCTGTAAGTACACTTTTAAATCAACCACATTTAGCCAAAGATAAATGGTATCCCAGAGATGAACTGCACAGAGTACCTGTAGTACTGGAATGACAGGACAGAGAGACTCAATAAACTTGTTCCAAGTCAGTGCTGTCATCATCAGTCGTCCCTGAAGCAGATACAACAGGATGGCCTTGGCAGCCGCACTCACCTACTCAACAACACAGAAACAACAATCTAGTAAACAAGATGTCCACTAAGTCACCTTACATACACATAGCAGTTCCTAAAACCTGAAGGACACTATCATTAACCTCTTTCCTCAGGTGCTCCCATTTCCACAGTATTATATTTTAATTTTTCAAAATTATATTAATAAAAAGAGAACAGATTTCATGTATTTCATAAATAATTCTATGGAGATATACAGTATCATCTTATACCATTTCTCAAATAGTTTCTCTCCATTAATGACATCCACAGTTTTATGTTTAAGATGTATTCTCCCACTGAATAAAAACTTCCCTTACTGAAATAACCTGCTTATAACGACTATTGTATAGTTCTTCATATCTCAGATGAAAAACATTAGTAAACCATTTGACCTGAACTCTTAATCAAGTGTGCTCTATATTTTGTTTCCAACACTTTACCATTCCTTTTTATTTAAATAATAACTCAACTGGATCAATATATAAAAGATGTTTAATTTATCAGGACATGATCATGACTTGGCTGAATATCCAGTTGCAGTAATCTCTTGCACTTATTTCTAACACGTTATACCTCATTTTTGGGTTCTTGTATGCCAAATGCAGAGATTTCATATAGAACTTTTGGATGAAGTAGAAAATTAATTCCATTACAAAGCGAAGACACAGGTTTAGTGACATTATGGACACCTAAACATTCCTGTAAAATTATACAAAATATTGTTAGTTAGCAACCGATTTTTCTAAAAAAAAATCTCTCTCCTATTCAGAATTCAATTCCAATTTTAGTGCTCACTCCAAACTTTTTTGCAACTAATAGAAGACAAAAGATTCTCTGCCTAAGAGTTTTTGAGTCTGTATGAAATATATGTTATATTACCTTCTGCCAACAAGTATAGTCTTGATAATGAAATAACCAAACTGCTGAAATAACGATAACCTCTTAAGGTTGTTCATAATAACAATAAATGATATAAAACACATTTATCCTGGGGCTGGCACTGTAGCATAGCAGGTAAAGCTGTCACCTAAAGTGCCAGCATCCCTTATAGATACTGGTTCGAGTCCAGCTTGGTGCACTTCTGATCCAGCTCTCTTCCTGTGGACTGGGAAAGCCAAAGATGATGGCCCAAGTCTAGGTGCCCCTGTACCTGTGTGGGAGACCCGGAAGAAGCTCCAGACTCCTGGCTTCAGATCAGCACAGCTCCGGCAGTTTGGGGAATGAACCAAAAGAACCTCTCTCTCTCTGCCTCTGCCTCTCTATAACTCTCTGCCTTCCGAATAAATAAATAAATTTTAAAAAATACATTTATCCTAAAGTGCTTGCATTTTACTTATCAAGGTTTGAAAAACAGAAAATAAATTTTATCAAAATACTTAAGTTATGGGCGAAGAGAAAATGACATGAAAATTAAGTAGTGACTATGCCATATCTCAACTATCACAAATTCTTTTCTCAATTATTGATAGAGAATAATATTTTAGAGGCTATTTCAAGTGAGAAAGAAAAAAGCTACCTGAAATAGTAATAGAATTTAAAAATAATATACAGGGTTAATATGCAATCAATAGTGAGTTAGAAACATAATATTTTTTATCTTGCAAATTACTTCCTAACCACTACCAACAATTCAGAGGTCAAAGATTTACATACACAGAAACTCACACAGAGAGCCAGCGCTGTGGCTTAGCGGGTAAAGCCACCGCCTGTAGTGCCAGCATCCCATATGGGCGCGGTTTGTATCCCGGCTACTCCACTTCCAATCCAGCTCTCTGCTATGGCCTGGGAAAGCAATAGAAGACAGCCCAAGTCCTTGGTCCCCTGCACCTGCATGGGAGACCCAGAAGAAGCTCCTGGCTCCTGGCTTTGGATCAGCACAGCTCTGGCCATTGTGGCCAATTGGGGAGTAAACCAGTGGATGGAAGACTTCTCGCTCGCTCTCTCTATGCCTCTCCTTCTCTCTTTTTTTTTGTAACTCTTTTAAATAAATAAACCTTAAAACACACACACACACACTCATATTTAATCTTTTCTTTTCATTTGTTAACTTCATGACATAGACAATAGTTTAATATTCCACACTTTTGCAAGAGCTAACCTGTCAGCCCTAGGTTTAAAACCAGCTGTAGGGCTGGTGCTGTGGTGCAGCAGGTTAAGCCACCACCTGAAGCACTGGCATCCCAACTGGACTTCAGTTGGAGTCCCGGCTGCTCCAGTTCCCATCCAGCTTCCTGCTAATGCAACTGGGAAAGCAGCAAAGGATGGACCCCGTGCACCCATGAAGCTTCTGGCTCCTGGCTTCAGACCAGCCCAGCCAGATTGCTCCAGCCATCGCAGCCATTTGTGGAGTGAACCAGTGGATAGAATCAATCAATCAATCAATCTCTCTCTCTCTCTTCCATCTATCTTCTAAGTCTTATTCTATGAAACTAGCTGTAATTTGCTTCCTAAAAATACTTTTAAAATCTGAGTTTCAATTTACTCACCCATAAAATCAGAATGATTCTGACTCCTTAATGAAACACCTTTCTTTCCTATTACTAAATATACCAACCTGTTTCTATTAGCCTTCTTAAAAGAGAAAAAGTACTGTGAATCTTATCAAAGACTAATCCCTACTCGATAAACTTCATTCTTAGTAATACCAATTTATCACTCACCTCTCCTCCATGGTCCAAGTACTTGTAGGAGTTTACCGTCCTTGGACATTACTTCCTCATTCCTCAGACTCTCTCCCACCCACACCAGTGCAGTTTCTTTCCCTACCACTCCATAGAAGCTTCTCAACTTAGACACCAAGTTCCTCTCTAAAGCCAAACCCAGTGGGGATCATCCCGTCTGTCATGTGACTCTATCTCACCTCACTGACAACTCCTGTCTCCTTTTCTGGCTCCACTTGCCATTCACCCCCTCTACCTGCAATCTTTCCTTCTCTGCAGGTTCTTTCTGTTGTTGTTGTTGTTATTAATTTGAAAGGCAGAGTTACAGAGAGAAGGAAAAACAGAGAGATCTTCCACTCACTGGTTCACTCCACAAATGTCTGCAAAAGCCAGGAGCTCAGAACTCCACCTGGGTTTTCCAACCAGGACTCAAACTGCTGCTCCAATATGGGATGCCAGCATCGTAAGCAGTGGCTTAACCCAATATGTCACAATGTTGGCCCCGTCTGCTGGTTTTTTCAGGAGGATTTCAACACATTAAGATGAAAATACACCTTCATGACAAACCTCTGCAATGAACAGATGAATGGGTAAACAAAATGCGGTGTACACATACAATGGTGTACACTATTAAGCCTTAAAAAAGAATGGAATTCTGATACATGCTACACATGGAAGAACCTTAAGGCCATTAAGAACCTTAAGGCCATTGGGCTAAGTGCAACAAGCCAGACACAAAGAGAAAAATATCTTATGATTCCACTTACATGGGTTTCCTAGAGTAGTCAAATTCCTAGAGACGCAAAATGGAATCCTGGTTGTCAGGAGCGGGGGACAGAGGAGATTGCTTCCTGAGTACAAAGTTTCAGATTGGGAAGATGAAAAAGTCCCGGAGACAGGCAATGGTGATGGTGGTTTAAGACTGTGAAAGTATACTTATGCCACTGAACTGCATATTTAATAATAGCTTAAATGGTAAATTTTATGCTATGAATATTTTACCACAATAAAATCAGATTCACATAGCTAAGAAAAATTAGTGTACTAAGGAATTCTATCCAAATTAACTAAAAAAAGATGTGAAAAATATGGAAGAGGGTTTAAAAGACACAAACTCGTAAGATAAAAAGGCCTAATAAACATCTGAATTCCACTTGGGGATCACAGCAAGAATGAGAACAAAGCAATATTCAACTAATAATGACTGACAATTATTCAGAGATGAAGGTAAATATTAGTGCTCAGATTAGAATCCTAAACAAGATAAAAATAAGATGTACATGAAAATAGACAAAAACAAATTGTAGAACACTAGAGACAAGAAAAAGATATTAAAAGAAACTAGAGTGGCCAGTGCTGTGGTGTAGTGGGTAAAGCTGCTGCCTGCAGTGCCAGCATCCCTTATGGGCGCTGTTTAGAGACCCAGCTGCTCCACTTCCGATCCAGCTCCCTGCTATGGCCTGAGAAAGCAGTAGGAGATGGCCCAAGTCCCTGGACCCCTCCACCTGTATGGGAGACCCAGAAGAAGCTCCTGGCCTCTGGCTTCGGATCAGCGCAGCTCTGGCTATTGTGGCCAACTGGGGAATGAACCAGCTCTCTGCCTCTCCTCTCTGTGTAACTCTGACTTTCAAATAAATAAATAAATTTTAAAAAAGAAAAAGAAAAAAAACTAGAGGGAGAGGTCACAAGATGGCACTGTAGCAACAGGACGATCCAAGTCATGTGGGGCAAAATAGATAATTAAAAAGGAGAAGATTTACGCCAGAGATAGAGCAGTGGAAAATTATCAACATGAAGCCCAGGAGAGCAACTGACTGGGCAAGTCTACACCAAAGGAGCAAATAAGAAAGGGGACAGCGAAGACTTGCACTGGGGAGGTTGGCGCCAGCCCCCAGCAGACCAGGTGAGACAGGAAACCGTGGGTCCATGGAGCTGGAAATAGCAGCAAGAAGGAGAGCTAGGCGAACTGCTTCTGAAGTTCCCCACAGTAAAAAAGAGAAGGTATAGAGGAACAGAGAGGTCGGGCAACCCACTGCCCTCTCCCCTCCCCACCTGGACCTGCAGCCAGGTGGAAGAAGCCATTTTGTTAGCTCACATTTTCGAACTTAAGCAGGGGACTGCTGCCTTTCCCTCCTAGCACACGCCCATCAAGTGCAGGGGTCACCTCACCACACACCCCACCCAGAAACGAGGACCACAGCATTTCTGAATTTCTTCCTCACCAAGCAAGTATTAAAAAGGAGAATTCTTGAATACCCACCCAGACCAAGTGGGATTTATCCCTGGTATGCAAGTATGGTTCAACATTCACCAATCAATGTGATACAACATAAACTGAAGAACAAAACCATATGATTATCTGAAAAGGTGCAGAGAAAGCATTTGATAAAATATAACAATCTTTCATGATGAAAATTCTAAGAAAACTGGGTACAGAAGAAACATTCTTCAAGACAATCAAGGCAATTTATGAGAAAGCCATGGCCAGCATCCTACTGAATAGAGAAAAGCTGGAAGCAGTCTCACTGAGATCAGGAAGTAGACAAGGATGCCCACTCTCACTACTGCTATTCAATATAGTCCTGGAAATTTTAGCCAGAGCCATTAGGCAAGAAAAAAAAAATCAAAGGGAAACAAATTGGAAAGGAGGAAGTCAAACTAACCCTATTTGCAGATGACATGAGTCTATATATAGCTGATCCAAAAGACTACACCAAGAACTACTGGAACTCATAGAAGAGTTTGGTAAAGAAGGATATAAAATCAACACACACAAAAAATCAATAGCCTTTGTATAAACAGACAATGCCATGGCCTATTCACAATATCTACCAAAAAAATCAAATACCTTGGAATAAATTTAACCAATGATGTCAAATATCTCTATGGTGAGAACTATAAAACATTAAAGAAAGTAACAGAAGATACAAAAAAAATGGAAAAATCTTCCAGGTTCATCAATTGGAAAAATCAATATCATCAAAGTATCCGTTCTTCCAAAAGCAATTTATAGATTCAATGAGATACCAAACAAAATACCAAAGACATTCTTCTCAGGTCTAGAAAAAATAATGCTGAAATTCATATAGAAACATAGGAAACTTCAAATAGCTAAAATGATCTTATACAACAAAAACAAAGCCAGAGGCATCACAATACCAGATTTCAAGACATACTACAAGGCAGTTAAATCAAAACAGCCTGGTACTGGTACAAAACAAATGGATAGACCAATAGAAGAGAAAAGAAATGACAGATATCAATCCAAGCATCTACAACCAACTTATATTTGACCAAGAAGCTAAAAGCAATCCCTGGAGCAAGGACAGTCTCTTCAACAAATGGTGCTGGAAATATTAGTTCTCCACATGTAGAAGATGAAGCAAGACACCTACCTTACACTTTATACAAAAATCCATTCAAAATGGATTAAAGACCTAAGTCTACCACCAAATTATCAAATTATTACATAACATTGGGAAAACCCTGAAAGACACTGGCACAGGCAAAGAGTTCTTGGAAAAGACCCCAGAGGCACAGGCAATCAAAGCCAAAATTAACAAATGGGATTGCATCAAATTGAGAAGCTTCTGTACTGCAAAAGAAACACTCAGGAAAGTGAAGAGGCAACCGACAGAATGGGAGAAATTATTTGCAAACTATGCAACTGATGAAGGATTAATAACCAGAATATATAAAGAGATCAAGAAACTCCACAACAACAAAACAAACAACCCTGTTAAGAAATGGGCCAAAGATTTAAACACATATTTTTCAAAAAGGAAATCCAAATGGCCAACAGGCACATAAAAAAATGTTCAGGATCACTAGCTGACAGGGAAATGCTAATCAAAACCTCAATGAAGTTTTACCTCACCCCAGTTAGGATGGCTTTCATATAGAAATCAACAAACCACAATTGCTGATGAAGATATGGGGAAAAAGGTACTCTAATCCACAGTTGGTGGGAATGTAAAAACTAAAACCACTATGGAAATCAGTTTGGAGATACCTCAGAATTCTGAATACAGACCTACCATCCCACTCCTGGGAATTTACCCAAGGGAAATTAAATCAGCCATTAAAAGAGTTATCTGCATCCCCATGTTTATTGCAACTCAATTCACAATAACTAAGACATGGAATCAACCTAAATGCCCATCAATTGAAGACTGAATAAAGAAATTATGGGGGGCCAGTGCTGTGGCACAGCAGGTAAAGCCACTACCTGCAATGCCGGCATCCCATATGGGTGCCAGTTCATAGTATCCTGGCTGCTCCATTTCCCATCCAGTTCCCTGCTATGGCCTGGGAAAGCAATAGAAGATGGCCCAAGTGCTTGGGCCCCTGCACCCAAGTGGGAAACCAGAAGGAAGCTCCAGGCTCCTTCCTTTGGATCAGCACACCTCTAGCCACTGTGGCCATCTGGGGAGTGAACCAGCAGATAGAGACCCCTCCCTCCCTCTCTCTCTCTCTCTCTCTCTCTCTCTGCTTCTGCCTCTCAGTAAATCTGCTTTTCAAATAAATAAATAAATAATTAAAAAAAAAAAAAAGAAATTATAGCGGTCGGTGCTGTGGCTCAGTGGGTTAACGCCCTGGCCTGAAGCGCTGACATCCCATACAGGCGCCGGTTCTAGTCCTGGCTACTCCTCTTCTGATGCAGCTATCTGCTATGGCCTGGGAAAGCAGTAGAAGATGGTTCAAGTCCTTGGGCCCCTGCACCCACGTGGGAGACCCAGAAGAAGCTCCTGGCTTCAGATCAGTGTAGCTCCAGCCGTTGTGAGTGAACCAGTGGATAGAAGACCTCTCTCTCTGTCTCTACCTCTCTCTGTAACTCTTTCAAATAAATAAAATAAATCTTAAAAAAAAAAGAGTAAGAAATTATAGGAATATACTCTATAAAATACTACACAGCACTAAAAAAAAAAAAAAAAAGAAATCCAGTCATTTGCAACTTTTTAAAATAGATGAATCTGGAAAACATCAGACTTAGTGAAATAAGCCAGTCCCAAAGGGACAAATACCATATATTCTGCCTGATTTGTGATAACTAATAAAATAATAAAAGGAAATCTGTAGAAGTGAAATTGACATTTTGTGATGCAGTGACTTCAACAGCCCTTGTCTTAACTGTTAAGGAACAGTATTTTTTTCTTTTCTCTTCCTTATACTCTTTGTTGAACTCTGCACTTAACATAGAGTTAAGCATATGTGTAGAAAGTCAACTGAAAATAGATCTCGGTAAAAAATAAGATGGGGGGGAGCATTGCTGTGACATAGCAGGTAAAGCTGTACCTATAGTGCCAGTATCCCATATGGGTGCCAATTCAAGTCCTGGCTGCTCCTCCTCCAATCCAGCTCTCTGCTATGGCCTGGGAAAGCAGTAGAAGATGGCCCAAGTCCTTGGGTCCCTATACCCCCATAGGAGACCTGGAAGAAGCTCCTGATTCCTGGCTTCGGATCAGCCCAGCTCCAGCCATTGCAGCTACTAGAAAATGAACCAGTGGATGGAAGACCTCTCTCTCTCCTTCTCTCTCTCTCTCTGACTCTGCCTCTTTGTAACTCTGCCTTTCAAGTAAGTAAATTGTTTAAAAAAAGAAAAATAATGAATCACAAGTAAAAATGACAAAATGAAAACTTTGTAATATACTGACAGTATTTATAAGAGTATTATATACAAGCGGATTCTTTGAAGAGCACATGGGAGAGTATATACACATTTCAATACTGTCCTACATAAGATGTGCTTTTCAGTACTGATATATTTAATATTCTGTGCTGAAATATTTTATCAATATAAAAGATGGAAAATAAATATATTTAAAAAGGAAATAAAAAGTATTAAGAAAACAGACCCAAAGCCATAAAATCTAAACTTTTCCTGAGCATAGAAATCAATTCTGAATACCCAGAAGTCAAATTTTCCTTTCAATGTTTCCATAATTAAAAAGCACAATATAAATGTAATGATTAATAAAACTAATAATAAAGCATTTCATTTGCTGGGTTACTGAGTTGAGGTAATTTAGTAGCACAAACTTTCTAGAACTGATTAATTATAACCCTCTATTTTATTGGATATTTCTAATACTTTAATTTTGTAGGTACAATAAAAGAATCCACTATTTGTTCTCAAAAACCAAATCAAACCAAACCAAACCCTACCTTAACAATTTCCAGACAGCAGTGGTAAGTCTCAACTTTCACTTGTGGCACCGGGTGAGACAACATACGTAGGAACACCTTTTGACTTTCTCCTTGTAATAATGGACTGGCCTGTGCAGACTTCCAGCTGGTAAAAAGGAATAACAACCAAGACATTCAAGGCAAGTCAGTCACTGAGCAAAAGCCTGTAAAGCATATTAGAAGGGATTTCTTCCTATTCCAATTTCTGTAACCGATGAACCAGTGGATGGAAGTATTATTATCAAGTACTTAACTAAACACACATTCGTTTCAATGCAGACCATGTTTTCTCTTAAAAGAGTGAAAAAAAAAAAAGGGTCGGTGATGCAGCACAGCAGGCAAAGCCTCCACCTGAGATGCCCACATCCCATATGGGGCCAGTTTGAAATCCGGCTGCTCCACTTCCGATCCAGTTCCTTGCCAATGGCCTAGGAAAATCAACAGAAGATGGCCCAAGTCCTGGGTCCTCAGCCACCCATGTTCGAGACTGGATGAAACTGCTAGCTCCTGCCTTTGGGCTGGCCCAGCCCTGGCATTACAGCCATCTAGGAAGTGAACCAGTGGATGGCAGGTCTCCCTCTCTCTCTCTCTCTCTCTGCCTCTCCGACTCTCTCTGTAACTCTTTCAAATAAATAATTTTTTTTAAAAAAATAAAAGTGTCAAAAATTCATACTTTGATGTTTGCCATATAATGAAAATTAATTTTTTTCAAAAGCAATGAAGATACTAAGTTCTAAACAGGAAATCTGCTTTGATATCTTCAAAGTATATTAATGAATACACAGTGCTTTCCGAAAATCTAAGAAAAAGGTGTAAAGTCATGAAACTTTCAAAATAAACCCTAACTTTAGGCTATTAATTAAAACAGCAAAGATAAATAAAAATGCTTAAATAGTTTATCTGAATGGATACCAACAATTTTAAATAATGAAATGTATAAAAATCCAAGAATTATTCATTTTGAATATAAGCATATTTCTGAAGTCTATCCTTAAATATAATAGCTAACTGTACTAAGGCAATTATGTATGTATTTACATACATACATACACAAATACGTACATGCATACATACATACACATGGTTAAAAGTCAAGTGTATATAAAAGCAATCTTAAGGGATGGGTGCTGTGGCATAGCAGGTTAAGCCACCATCTGCTCTGCACCCTCATGAGAGACCAGGAAAAAGCTCCAGACTCCTGGCTTTGGATTGGCCCAGCTCCGGCCGTTGCAGCCATTTAGGGAGTCAACCAGCAGTTGAACAGACTCTGTTTCTCCCTCTCTCTGTAACTCTGCTGTTTAAATATATAAATCTTAAAAACATTGGGGCTGGCATTGTAGCACTGCAGATTGGGCTGCCACGTGCAGTGCCAGCACCCCATACAGGCACCAATTCAAGCCCCAGCTGCTCCACTTCTGATCCAGCTCCCTGCTAATGCACCTTGGAAAGCTGCAGAGGATGGCCCAAGTGCTTGGGCCCCTTCAACCACTTAGGGGACCCGGAGGAAGCTCCTGGCTCCTGGCTTCAGATCGGCTCAGTTCCGGCCATTGCAGCCATTTGGGGAGTGAACCAGTGAATGAACGATTCTCTCTTCCTCTCCCTCTCTCTCTCTAACCCTGCCTTTCAAATAAATAATTCTTTAAAAAAATTTAATTTGAGGGAAAAAAGGCAATTTAAACTAAAAACAGTAAGAACAAAGATTTAAGATCAGCCTCATTTCCACTGTTCCTAAGTTTACATACATACACATAAACACATATACAATGTATCCTACAATAATATAATCACAGCAAGAAAGAAAATATTACATCTTTGAACAAATGCAGATGATTTCCTTTATCAGGGGGAAATGCTGATGATAGGAAAAGCTACGCAAGGCTTGGTCTGCCAGCTCCACTAATTCCAAGAGATTCTTCTCTCCCTAAAAAAGAAACACAATGGAATAATAAATGTCAAGTTCATATGCAATAAGATTCTCAACAGCTAACAAAGCAGCCTCATGAAATTAGACTGTCAAGAGACCTGGAGATTGTTCACATTTGTTTAAGTTCATTTTCTTAAATCCACCTAAACATGTCACCCCAGCAGAAAATATTGAAGGAAAAATTCCTAAGTAAATGCCACATTAGACTTTTTATTATTGAACTGAGTAAGCTTAAAGGTACAATCAGTTGTCTGGTTCTCTGATTACTTGTCCCCTATAAAAGGCAGGGACAGTGTATTTTCTTATCGCCCTCCCACTTCTAACATCCTGACCACTTCTGGGAACATCAATTGTGATCAACAGGCCACATATGACGCCACAGAAGTAATTCAACCAAAAGACACATTTCAAAATTCTATCACACAAGAAACAAGAAGCAAATAGTATCAACATTTGTGTCAAAAAAGAAAAGAAATGAAACCACAGTGGGTAAATAAAGGAAAATCACATATATGAGGAAAAACTCTACTGTAGGAACCAAAAAGTGAAAATTTTATCCCTAGTTCTTCAAGATCTTCATGATCCATTTTGATATTTTCAGACAGTAAACAACTACAGTAGTCAATATCTATAAGACCCATTTAACCCACTTATTAATAACAGTAAATAATATCATAGTGGTATTTTAAAAGATGTTAACACTATTACACAGCTGCTGTAACACTGCACTTAAAGTCATCCTGTTACCTTACAGAAAATGTAGTTCATGACTGTTTAATTTTAAAAAAAATCAGACTCTGCCATTTCAGGCACTTGGGGAGGGAACCAGTGAAATGGAGATCTCTCTCTTCCTTTCCCTCTCCCCCTCCTTCTTTCCCACCTTGTGTGTCTTCCTCTCTGCCTCTCAAAATTAAAAAAAAAAAAAAACAACTCCAAAATAAATGTGTCTATATGTCCATATATTTATGTCAATGTATAGAGAAAGGACAAGAAAGTTACGGAGCAACTTGTTGACTCTGGATCATCTTGGGAGGGAAAGCTGAATTGTAACATTGGAAAAGAGAATTGCTTTTATAGTTAACTAACTCCTTTAGTTTCAAAGTTTTTCAGTTATCATATCTTCTGAATAGATAATTAATAAAATAAAACCAATGCTTTCTTGAAAAAAAGATCAGTATCTCTGTGAGTATACAGTAAGTACCTATAAAAAATTAAAGCAAAAATGTGGCCACAAATAAGCATTAAAATGATCCTTATAATTCTAGCTATGTCAGCTGTCACTCAGTTCATATATTAGTCACTTCATAAAAGTACTTCCTTTTAAATATTAAGGCTTTTATCAAACCACTGATTTTATGAATACCCAACATTCGTTAATGTCTTTGAGTTACTTTTATAAAAATAATGATCTTAATCTAGTAACTAACCCACTATGTAATAACGTATCCCACCTCTAGCAATTCAATTGTTTTATATATATATACACACACACATACTTGAATACAAATTTTCTAAATATTTCATCACCAGAATTTAGAAGACATATTAGCAAACATCTTTTACCTCCTTCCCAACCTCAGACAGGAAATTACAAGTACATTCGATTGAATAAACAGCCTCTGCAGTTCGTTTGTAAATACTGTAGTTTTCAGAATTCAGCTGTTCCAAATAGGCCACAACAGCTTCATGAATATTTGGATACTCCAAAGAAACAGGCATGTCCAAAGAAAGAAGAAACAACGCCGCTGACATCGGCTCTGGTAAAAACTCACTGGCCTTGATGAATTTAAGAGAAAAAAATTAAAATTTTGTTATAAAAAATTTTCAGAAAGTTTTAGAATATAATCTTAAACTAGTCTAACTTCCTTTTTAGTAATTCTCTATCACAAAGTCCATGCTTTTTCCAAAGAAAATTCTATTTCTCAATATACCATCCACTTGTATGCCTTGGTTCAGTGAAATCTGTCCGTATCTAAAACACCTCAAGTGCAAGTATCGATATGTTCTTCCCCACATCAATACCAGTATTCTCTCTCAGCCTTACACCTTGTTTATATATCTGCTACTTAAGTAAGACATGAGGCCTTTTTCTTTAAGTATTTAGGGCACTTGCATAAAAATCTCCGCAATAACCCAATAATCCCCTGAAGATAGGAACATATTCCCATCCCACAAACACATAACAAAGCTATTACTAATTACATGTTAAATTGAATGAAACCAAAGCAATATAACTATAGACTGAAGTGAACAGAAACTGATTTTTGGTTTTGTCTTTTAGAGGGGAAAAGGGAAATTCAGCATAATATTTGAAATAGTTTTAGGGGCCAGCACTGTGGTATAGCACATAAAGCCGCCACCTGCTGTGCCAGCATACAATATGGGAGCCAGTGAGAGAACTGGCTGTTCCACTTCTGATCAGCTCTATGCTATGGTCTGGGAAAGCAGTAGATGGCCCAACTCCTTGGGCCCCTGCACCCATGTGGGAGACCCAGAAGAAGCTCCTGGCTCCTGAATTCGAATCGGCCCAGCTCCAGCTATTACAGCCATTTGGGGAGTGAACCAGCAGATGGAAGACCTCACTCTCTCTTTCTCTCTCTCTCTCTCTGCCTCTATCTCTGTAACTCTGCCTTTCAAATAAATAAATAAATATTTTAAAAAAAAGTTTTATAACACTCAGAAAAGGTTGCCACTTAATTTACATTACACTATACATTTTATAAACTTAAATCAATGTATTTAAAACTTTAATAGCAGTCTGTTTTTTGTTAAAGATTTACTTATTCATTTTAAAGGCAGAGTTACAGAGAGGCAGAGGCAGAGGCACAGAGAAGTCTTCCATCCACTGGTTCACTCCCCAAATGGCCACGACAGCAAGAGCTGCGCCAATCCAAAGCCGAGAGCCAGGAGCTTCTTCTGCGTCTCCCACGTGGGTACAGGGGTCCAAGCACATGGGCCATCTTCCACTGCCTTCCCAGGCCATAGCAGAGAGCTGGACTGGAAGTGGAATAGCCGGGTCTTGAACTGGTACCAATACGGAATGCTGGTACTGCAGGCAGTAGTTTTAACTATGCCACAGTGCCAGCCCCTAACAGCCTGTTTCTTAAGGGTTCTAGCTTTGAGATAAGATTATACACATAAACTAAAGAAATAAAAACAGTGAAAAATCCATTGTTCAGAGAAAATCATTTAATAGAGCTCACTATCACAACTGAAATGCTATCTTTACTAAAGTAGATTTAATCTTAATATATTTCATGGGTCACCTATATTAAGAATAATCATTAATTGCCTGGAAAGCTAAAATTAAGAGCTGAATTAGCTAAATACCACCCTTAAATGAAATAAAGTTGTCAACTAAATACTGGAAACTATAGGAATCAAATTTTTAGGTTACTAAACAGAAAAAAATCTCCAGATTTCTAAGACAGCAGCTATTAGAATTTTGAGAGAATTACATTATTCTGTGAAGTACTCTCCTAATGGAGAAGAAGGGAGAGGAGAGAGGAAGAGAGAGGGAGAAGGGAGAGGGGAGAGGAGAGGGGGAGGAGAAAGAAGAGAGGAGGAGAGAGGGAGAAGGGAGAGGGGAGAGGAGAGGGGAGAAGGGAGAGGGGAGAGGAGAAAGGAGAGAGGAAAGAGGGAAAAGGGAGAGGAGAGAGGACTGAGAGGAGAGAGGGAGAGCGGAGAGGAGATGGAGAGGGAGAGGGGGAGGGAGGAGAGGGGAGAGAAGGAAAGGTAGGAGAGAGGGGAGGAGAGAAGGGGAGAAGAGGAAGGGGGAGGAGAGAAGGGGAGAAGAGGAAGGGGGAGGAGAGGGGTGAGAAGGAAAGGGAGAGGGAGAGGGAGAGGGAAAGAGGGTGGAGGAGCGAGGGAAACCAAGTATCTGCTTATCTATTATTCACTCCCTCAGTAAATATTGACTGGACCCCGCTGTAGTCCTCTACTGTGTGCCAGGCACTGCCCCAGATCCTAGTAACACAGCAGTGAGCAAAGCAAACCTCTGCTCTCATGAAGCTGATACTCCACTAGAAAAGAAAGCAAGTAAGCAGAAACACTTCATGTCAGTGTAGTAAGAAAACTGTTACTTCATAGGAAAGATGGAGAGGAACAGAGAAGGATGAGGAGTAGAGCCAGGGAAAATACTCTTCCTGTAAAGCAATAGAAGGCCACTCTAATAATGTGACATTGAAGTAGCAACATGGAAGAGCCAGGAGCCATGTGGACTGGGGGGCTAGGGGAGGGAATCATAGAAGAGGGAGCCAAAAGAGCAAACATTCAGAAACAGGGTAATTTGGTAGTAAGAGGTCATTGTAGCTAGCACTGAGGAATAGAGTCAGAGGGGTCTGGTAGGCCAGATCACCTAAGGCTCGGGTCATGGTAAGGACTTATTCTCTGATGGAAGCCATTAAAGGTTTCAAACAAGTATAAAAGTCAATCTGCAAAGAACAGATGCAAAGGTGGAAACCTAGAGACCAATGAGGAGTTCAAACCTCCAGACAAGATCAGATGTTAGATTGAAAGCAGATTGCTCAGATCCTACATGGATGCTCAAGGGACAGGAACTGGATCTGGATGTTAAGTGAAAGACAAGAATCGAAGCTGACTCTAAGGTTGTTGCCCTACTGACTATTAACTAAAATAAAGTCATCATTGACTGAGACAGAGAAGACTACATAAAGAATATATTTGTGATAGGAGACAAAAAATTAGGTGTGGGACTTTTTTTTTTTTTTTTACAGGCAGAGTGGACAGTGAGAGAGAGACAGAGAGAAAGGTCTTCCTTTGCCGTTGGTTCATCCCGCAATGGCCGCTGCGGCTGGCGCACCGTGCTGATCCAAAGCCAGGAGCCAGGTGTCTCCTGGTCTCCCATGTGAGTGCAGGGCCCAAGGACCTAGGCCATCCTCCACTGCACTCCCGGGCCATAGCAGAGGGCTGGACAGCAAGAGGAGCGACCAGGACAGAATCCAGCGCTATTGCAGCCATCTGGAGAGTGAGCCAGTGGATAGATGATCGATCAATTGATCAATCTCTCTCTCTTTACCACACCACCCCATAACTCTGTCTTTCAAATAAATTTTTAAAAATATTTTTAGAAAATCATTTAACAAATTCAAGATTTCTACACAGATTCACATTCATTTTCCTACATCCAAATTACATAAGGTAAAAAGTTTCAGAATCCAAATTCGACTTCAATTGTTAGTGAGCTAGCAACAGGCAGAGGGCAGCACAACCTTACATTTATATAAACCAAAGAACAGCAATGAAACAACATAATGTTTAGAATCTATTCCGAGTTCATTAATCAAACCAAGAACCATCTATATACAAACACATTAATTACAATCTCCTATAATGATCAAAATCGTTATAATACATAGTTATGTATTTTAAAGTGCCACCAAAATTACAGACATTGCTTTCAAAAACAAAAACAAAAACAAATAGAAATAACTATCTTCCACTGTTGATGCAATTTTGAACAGTAGAGCAAAAAAAAAAGACACACGCACATGACACTAACATATGCTAACTAGAAAATAATCCTCAAAGTACTGCTGGAAACTACTGTTTGTTTTCCATATGCCAAGGAACTTGTGAGATGGTAAATGAGTGAAAACTCTACTTAATTGTAAAGAAGGAAAAAATAACTTGGTATTAAGAGGATCTAAGACAGACTCCCTTGAAAAAAAGGAGATCAGTAGGTTTTCAATGAACTTCATTCACTTAAAAGGCATATTAAACGCATAAATCATATATGTATATATACACATTCATAAATTTATAAGTTGATTTCAAAAACTTCATAGAAACATGAAATTAAAAGAAAAAGTGAGTTTTCCAAAAACTCTTGGAAGCCTCCTTGTAAATGTGGGCATATATGAACACATATATTAACATATATATAAATATTAAGTATTTACAAGGTTTTCCAAGTGCTAAACTCAGAAACTGACATAACAGGGAAAAATATATTCATATAAAAGATATAATTTCTGCCTTCAAAGTATTCTGTTAAAAGTTCAACAAAGTTAGTGAAGCATAATATCAGGTCATTTACACAGGTTCTCAGAATCCACGGACCAATTCTAACTTAGTTTTCTATCCTGAATCTAATATTGTTAGCATACTGTAGGCAATCAATTAAATATTCACTGATGAATAAATGAAGGAATAAACAAATTTTTGTACATAAATACAATAAGACACGTGCAATAAAAACTGTTAGATTATAAAGCAATTTTCTATCAAATGCTTTGTGAAGACTATTCAAAAGGTTAGACATTTCTAAATTTCCACATTTCACATATAATCTCTGTACCTATACTTCTTTTGATACAAGTCTGAAGTAGAGAACCATCACACCATGAAATGATCAGAAGAAACTCCGAGCAGAGCACTTGTTTGTAATAGTCCATAGGCTGCAAGTAGGCAGCAGCTTCCCGCTTACCTTTTCAACAGGGAGAAGCATTTGCAACAGGCGGACTGCAAACAGTGCAGTGCTGACAAAGGCCATTCTGTGGTGCACCAGCATTGCCTCTGGTTGTTCCACACTGACACTGCTTTTATGGTAGCATATTGTTTCTCCAAGAGATCCCAAAATCAGGAGCAGCTTCTCTTTCTGAAAACATTTAAGCAACACGAAACTGGGAAAACAATAACTTTCAGGGACAGGCCCACATGCAAATGCCTTTGAGAACAGTTTAAATAGTGTTATTACACGGCAAAGGAAACCAAGACAAAAATTTATTCTTCTCTGAGAATAACCACTATCTACTGAGATAATAAAAAGTGATAAGCATACCTACACTTTAAAAAAACAATGTTAAGTACTTAATATGATAAATCCTAATGGATAATGAATAAAAAACAAGCATTAAAATACAAAAGCTTAATGAACCAAAAATTCCTCCTACTTTGTAGTGTTTAATAGTTACAACTTGGAATATTTGCATGTAAATCTGCAAGCATTTATTAGGCTTAGTGCATGCCTAATATATGAGCAGGCATACTTGGGTGGGTGTGGGGATGTATTAGAAAGTAACTTAAGAAATGAAATAAGAGAAGTCAAATAAGCAAAAAGCAATTAAACATCACAACGGTATAAACGCTCTCTCTTCAGGTAATTAAGTAATTTCAAGTGGAAAACGTTTTGCCAAAAGAACCTAAGAGTTTCCAAAAGAGATTTGTATACCCACATGCAGCAGTCCTAGTGACAGCAGCCAAAAATTAGAAATAGTGCACTGACAAATGGATAACAAAATGTCCTTCTGTGGTATATACATACAACGAACATTACTAAACTGCAAAAAAAAAACTAAAATTTCATTTATGCTACAATACCGATGAACCCTGAAAATATTATATACTTAATATGACACACACAGGGGCTGGCGCTGTGGCACAGCAGGTTAATGCCCTGGCCTGCAGTGCCAGCATCTCATATGGGTGCTGGTTCAAGACCCAGCTGCTCCACTTCCGATCCAACTCTCTGCTATGGCCTTGGAGAGCAGTAGAAGATGGCCCAAATCCTTGGGTCCCTGCACCCAATATGGGAGACCCGGAAGAAGTTCCTGGCTCCTGGCTTCGGATATTGGCGCAGCTCCAGCCACCTAGGGAGTGAACCAGCGGATGGAAGACCCCCCCCTCCCCCGCCTCTCCTCTCTGTGTAACTCTCACTTTCAAATAAATAAATAGATCTTTAAAAAAAAAAAAAAAAAAAAAAAAAAGTTGACCCGCAGGTCCAGCACCACGGCTCAATAGGCTAATCTTTTGCCTAGCGGCGCCGGCACACCAGATTCTAGTCCCGGTCGGGGCACCGGATTCTGTCCCGGTTGCCCCTCTTCCAGGCCTTCTCTCTGCTATGGCCCAGGAGTGCAGTGGAGGATGGCCCAAGTGCTTGGGCCCTGCACCCCATGGGAGACCAGGAGAAGCACCTGGCTCCTGCCTTTGGATCAGTGCAGTACGCCAGCCGCAGCGGCCATTGGAGGGTGAACCAACGGCAAAGGAAGACCTTTCTCTCTGTCTCTCTCTCTCACTGTCTACTCTGCCTGTCCAAAAAAAAAAAAAAAAAAAAAGACACACAAACACATATAGATATAAATTATGTGATTGCATCAATATGAGGAAGCAGGGGCTGAGGGAGGCAGAATGGGAAACTGTGGTTTAATGGGTACAAATTTCAAAAAGTTCTGGAGATAGATAACAGTGATGATGGTACAACAATGTGAATGTACTTAACACCACTTAAGTGTACATTGCAAAAATGGTAAATTTTGGTTTTTACATTTTACCAGCAAAAAAGTTACCTAAAGGAATAAGCTTTGTTTTGTATGCACATGTATCACTTCATAAATCTAAGTTTTAAAATAAGCACAAATGAAATTAAAACTATAATGCTTACTATCCAAATCATTACAGAAGTTCTATGTATATATATATATATACACACATACATATATATGCATACACACACACACACGTATTTCCCCAAAAAAGAAATGAGACAGCAAAAATTTTTGAGAGAAGATCAAACATACTACAAAAAGTTGAAATACAGTAGTCCCCCCTTATCCACAAGGGGTACATTCCAAGACTACCAGTAGATGCCTGAAACTGTGGATAGTACCAAACTCTCCATATACTATGACATTTCCTATGTGCTTGCATAGATTCCAAATGGTAACAGAGTTCATCTATCCTTCCATATTTCATTTCCCAGTGCCTTCTTAATGAATGTTAAGATACAGAACACTATTCTTGTGCCTCAGGTAAAATAAGGATTACATGAAAACAAACACTGCAAATGTACCAGCAGTCAATCTGATAATGGCAATGGCTACTAAATGATTAAAAGGCAGGCAGCCTTTACAATATGGAAATGCTAGACAAAGAGGTGCTTCATGTCTTGGGCAGGAGAAAGTGGGAGGGCAAGAGACTGTATCATGCTTTTTAGAACAATGTACAATTTAAAATTTATGGATTATTTCTCGAATTTTCTATTTAATATTTTCAGACTGCAACTGATGGCAGGTAAGGAATTTTACATGTAAGCAAAAAACAAAAATTATACCTATAAAAAAGACAGCTTTTTCTTTGTGTATAACAGGTTAAAAATTAAATGTGTAGGGGCCAGCATTGTGGCGTAATGGGTAAAAAGCCACCACATGCGACACCAGCATCTCATATGCGTGCCAATTCAAGTCCCTTCTGCTCCACTTCTGATCCAACTCCCTGCCGATGGCCTGGGAAAAGCAATAGAAGATAGCCCAAGTGTTTGGGCCTCTGCCACGCACATGGGAGACCCCTGGCATTGAAACAATCTGAGAAGTGAACCAGCAGATGAGAGATATCTCCTCTTTTTCTGTAATTCTGCCTTTCAAATAAACAAATCTTTAAAAATTAAATGTATAGAATATAAACAAAAAAATCTAAGTAACATGATTAACAAATAATTTAGGGCAAAAAATCAGATAAAGAAGACAATTTTCCATTGACGAAACATGTAAAAAAATTAGAAATAAGTCTTTGTGATCTGAACAACATAAAATATCAAGCAAAACTTGTTACTGATACAGACAGACTTTAACTCTGTCATTCTGAACAAATTAAAATAAACTTCCTTTTTTTTTTGAAAGAGAGCTCCCATTTGTTAGTTCACTCTCCAATTGCCCCCAAAAAGCCAGAGCTGGGCTGAGACCAGGGTCAAAACCAGAAGCCAGGAATACAATTCTTGTCTCCCCCATGGATGACAGGAACCTTTTACTTGAGCCATCACTGCTGCCACCCATGGTCTGCAAAGGTGGAAAGCTGGATTCAGGAACCAGAATCAGGAGTCAAACCACACGACTCCAACGTAGAATACAAACGTTTTAACCACAGGCTACACACTCCCTCCAGCAGTGAACTTTGCATGGTACAAAGAATACAACCTTCCAAGTTTCAATTAAAATTGACAAAAACTAATAATAAAGGTACTCACAAAGAAAACATCATTGAATATTTAAGGCTATATTCTCTGATTCCAAAGAAATAAAACTGAAAATTAATAAAAATTTGGAGTAACTGTTCAGCGTAGCGAGTAAGATGCCTTCATCACACACTGAAGTGCCTTGGTTTGATTCTCAGCTCTGGCACCTGACTCTAGTTTCCTGCCACTGCAATCTGAAGAGGCAAAGCAATGGCTCAAAGGACTGGGTTCCTGCCATTTAGGGGGGAGACCTGGACTGTGTGCATTCCTGGCTCCTGGCTCCAGCCCCTGTTCAGCCCTGGCCACTGCAGGTGCTCTCTTGCTCTTGCTTTCTCTCTGTCTCTCTCTGTCACTTAAATATACTTTAACTTTTTAATAAAAATTTAAACCAAAAGTAGGGTAACACAAAACTAAAACAAAATTAGAAAAACTAAAAAGTTCTAATATGAGTAAATATCATTCCAGAGAAAACAAACCCAAAACACAATGACCATCTTCCATTGACAGGTAACTACTCCATACAGTGACTCCTTACAAATAGTCCATACATTGACAGGCATACTTCTCCATTAAAATAACAACTTTTATATACACCTAAGGATAACATATCACTACCAGTTAAGGTTAATTTTGACAATTTACAATTTAAATCAATACAAGTATTTAAGAACTCAGCATAGTAGAGCTTTTTCTAAAAGCCTATTTGTGAAATTGTTTCAAAAACCTTTGGAGTGCTTCACAAAACAGCATGAAAAGGAAAGATTATAAAGACCAGGTTTTTTTTTTTTTTCTGTTTTCAAAAACAGCTTTATGGAGATGTCATTCCTATAGCAAACATCTCACTCATTTAAAGCATACAATCTGATGGTTTTTCATATATTCAGGGAACTGAACAATCATCACCGGAATCTAATTTTAGACCAGTCACTTCCCATCCAGCCACCTCCACTCCCAGACCCAGTCAAAGGCTGATCTACTGTCTTCGCAGATGTGCCTATTCCGGACCTTTTGAATCAGCGGAATCACACAACGTGCGGCCTTCTTTCTTGTAATTGGCATGTTTCACGACACTAGCACGTCTCAATACTTTATTCCTTCTCACAGCTGAGTAACACGTTTTATTTATCCATTCAGCACGTTTTATTCCGTCGCTCTTGGGCATCTAGCTGTAGTAACACTGCTGGTTGTACATGGCCGTGCTGCTGAATCTCTCGAGAAACTTCAGATTGGCTTTCAAAATGGCTGCACCGTTTTATGTTCCCACCAGCAGGATCTGAGCGTTCTCATTTCTCCACACCCTTGATAACACTCGCTTTTTCTGTCTTTCGACAGCCTAGTGGGGATGAAGTGGTCCCTTTCTTCAGGTTTACATCCCGAAGCAGCCGAATCCAAATCTGCAATCTACCTGGCTCCAGGGCTCATGCTCTTCACTCCAGCTTTCCAGGGGGAACATGCTTGGTGTTTGAGGAGGGGGTGGCAGAAATGAAGGGGAGTTTGCAGGGGCATCTGGGAAATTCCCGAGCTCCCCGCGCGCTGACTGGCTGTGCGCGCCGCCGTCTGGCCGGGAGGCGGGACCGGCCCAAGGCAAAGGGAGGTGGGAGGTGGTGGCCGGTGACTCCTGCGACCCACTCACCATAAGGACCAGTTTTACA